ACCTTTAATTCAAACCACTCACAAAATTATCCTTGATCTCCCTTCCATTTACTGATTATGCCACAATCAGAAAACTATAAATAGACATCTTATTTCTCATGTAAAGAGTCTCTGAAGGAGGAGGAAGAACGGACCCAAGCAAGAAGAGAAGAAAGAGGAAGAATAGTTCTCTTGTCCTAGACTCCTCCTCGACCACCGTCGGACTTCATCTCGACCACTGACTATCGCCGATTTTCTACCGGCTACCAACAAATGCTGAATTTTTGCCTGGCTACTAATTGACACTGGATTTCTACTCGGCTACTAAATGACGCCAAACTTTGGATTGTCGTCAGATTTCTACCCAACGCCAGACTTCTACCCATCACCGTATTTCTACTCGACACCGAACTACCGCCCTTCGTATGACTTCTGTCCATTACCGGAATTCTACCCAATGTTGGACTTTCGCCTGTCACAAAAATTCTACCCGACGTAGGACTTCCTCTCGTCGTCGGACTTCTACATGATGCCGGACCTCCGCCCATCTTCGGACTTCTTCCCATCTCCGAACTTTCGTCAGACTTCTACCAGACACCGAACTTCCACCCATCATCGGACTTTCTTCAGACTTCTAGCCAATGCTGAACTTTCGTCCGTTTCTGAACTTTTGCGATTCATCGAATGTTCGTCAGACTTCTACCCAAGGCCAGACTTCCACCCACCACTAGATTTCTGCCCGACGCCAGCCTTCCACCCGTTGTTGGGATTCTGCTTGACACCAGACTTCCCCCCGTCATCATACTTCTACTCATCGTCGGACTTTCGTCGAACTTCTACCTGACGCGAGACTTTCGCCCATCATCAGATTTCTGCATGACGTCGGACTTTCACCCGTCAACGGTCCTTCTGACCTCCTTCGCCATACAACGATCTTTCATACCTCCATCGCCCGCCGACTACGGTACTACTGACCTCTGTCGCCCACCGACTACGGTCCATCTGACCTTCGTTGCCAAACAACGGTCCTTCCGACCTCTGTCACCTGCCGACTATGATCCTTCCAACCTCCATCGCCAGGCAATGGTCTTTCCGACCTCCATTGCCCTCCGGTTATTATTCTACATGCCAAACAAACATATGATCAATATTGATTCTTTCAAGTCCCATCATATAATGCATGTTATATGATGTATATTTATTACATCAAGCCAAGACATTCTCTCAAGGAAGGGCCTCATTTGTAATTGACTGCAAATATAGTGGATTCATTAATTCAAACTGGGTCAAGCCCCGTAGTTTTTCCTCTTTCAGGGTTTTCCACGTAAAAATCTTGGTGTCTCTTATAAATACTACACCCACACTTTCATCTGTTTGTGTGTTGGATCTTCATACAACGCTAAGACATTAAATTTTATACTTCTCTACCGCCATGAATATTCCAAGACGCAACATTTCTACCATAATTTTCTTAAATAATCTTACTTTCTTATAAATAAAAAACATAATTTCTCCCTCATTTAGATTTTTACAAATCTATGTAATTTTTTAAGAAGCATCAATTCATCTTCTCATGGTTGCATCATACACTTCAATAATTAAGTTATATTATTTGAAAAATTAGTTGTATTAAGAGATAGCATTTGACAGGAAATTAATTATACGTGACATAATAATAGCTCCATCATTATACAATAATAAACGAATATATTCACAAGTTTTTCTTAATCCAATTAATTAACAAATGATAATAATTTGCTTAAATTAATATTTTGTAATTAATTATTAATTTTAGTTTTTTTAAAAGTAAAATTACCTTATTTAAATAGAAATAACATTTATAATTTTAAGTTACCAAAATATATGGAAATAAAGTAAGAAATTACATATAGCCATGTGTTGCTTTTGTGGATATTTTGAACTGTATATATGCTTAGACCCTAGGTTAATATATTTTTTATATAAATAATACTTATTATTAAAATTAATTTTGGAAATTGACATGCATGCCATAAACTTTTATGTATTTATATATTTAATACATAAAATTTAATATTTATTCATATACTATATAAATCTTTAAATCACATTAAAGCATTACTAATATTAATTTTTTCAAGCTAAAAAAATATATTTTCATGTATATATTTTGATGTTATTTGAATGTTAAAGTTTTCTTTCTCTTAGTAAATATTATTTTTAGATATTAGATATATAAATACACACAATTATATCTTGTACATACATGTAAAGTTCCTATATTTTCAATCTATACATATGTTGATTGTTTGGAATATTATTATTTTTATGGAAGATCTTTTTTTATCAATCATAATTATATTAATTATATCATAATTAGCATAGGTACGCCTCATGCCAGCAGGGTGAGGTGCGCGTCAATGCGCATCTCATTCAAACTAAGCCTCACGCCTCACAAAAAAAAAAAGGTTGAGGCGTAGGCCTCAAGGCATTTTTTCATTGGAAATGTGCTGAGACGAACCTCATCTTGTGTAATTTTAAACAATGGATCCTAATAGGAGAAGTTAAGTTAGTAGGGAAGGGTTTTTAGGCTGAGGGTGAGAAAGTTATTTTGAGCTGAAGTTTAGCTATCTTTTTGGGCAGTCATAGGTTTAAGGTCGGAAGTTGTTTTTATAGGGAGGAAATGTAGCATTTTTTTTTTCTTATGGCTTGATAGGGAGTAGCTTTATGGTCTTATTATTAATTTCGAATGAACAAGTATTTTATTGATCATAGTGAATAACATCTCAATCATAAAGCTAGGGTTTACCTGATATGATACAGGCTATATTTATGGGTTGAACATCCCATTATATTTGATTCTCATAAGTGCTTTATCAATTGGAACAAATCATCTAGAATTCATAAGTAGAGAAGTGTGATTAACCTAACTAATCTAAAATGGCTCAAGGTGAGATTCATGATTTTGGCATGTTTAACTAAGAGCATTAGCATACATAACATTCATTACACTCCCACCACCAACAACAATTTTGTATCTCTTCATATTACGATTGGCTATCATTTGAAAAGTATCTTGTCAACATCAGTCTTCTTAATTTAATTTATCCATTGAAAAACGTCTCAAAACAGTCATGAGTGTGTATCATCATAATCACCTTCTCTTTTTTAAATAGGGTCATAATCCAAAATTTTCTCATTTAGTCAAGGGTCTATGCTCTTCTTAAAATAGAATTTTTGTATTTTGCTCTAGTTTTGCATATGATTCTGTTTATGACATTTAAAATAAATAATATTGTTGGTTCTCTTGTGATTTGATTTTTTAGATAAAATTTTGAGCTTTGTGAACCCTAGTGGATGATGAGGTAGTAGAAGTTAAACTAGATGGTTTAGTAGTAGACTTGAATATGAAAATTGAATAGGATAAGTACTTAGGTTTTGTAGAGAGGGTATATTTTCTATTGCTTCTCAATCATAAGTGTAAAGTTAAAGCTTCTTCTAAAGTTTGAGTGTTCATATAGCAATCACAAGCATAGTTTTCTAATTAGAATGCTAATAATTAGCTATGTAGATGTTTTCATGAAACCTATAAAAATATTTTTCCTTTGAAAGTTCTTTCATTTCATCCTAAGTCCATTTACTTCTGCCATTTTAGAATTCTTTTATTAAAAGTTTTATGAAACAAATTAAACATAACAATTTCAATTTAATTAAACTAAATCACAAATATTATTTATTGTTTAATTCGACATCTTTTTATTTAATTAAGATTAATTTAATATTTTATTACTTTTAAAATATGGTAGAATTGAATAAACTCAAATTTACTTTAAGAATACTATTATGCAAAAATTAAATAAAATTAAATATTTTGACACTTATTTTGACAAAAATTATATCAAATGTTTTACACTAATGTTTTTCTTCTTATTAATCCTGACTACAACAATAACAACATTAAGCCTTTGTCTCCTACGTGGGATCGACTATATGAATCTTTTTTTATTATGTCATGTTAAAAGTTAAATACTTGTTTAAATATAATAATGAAAGATCATTTCTATTATTTTATAATCAAGACTTTTTAGGTCTATCTTTATCTTTCTTAATATAAGTAAAATCAAATATCTCTACTTTCCTAGCCGGGTCATCGGAAGGTCGTCATTTTATATGACCAAACCATCTAAGGCAAATCTCTCTAATCTTATCTTCTACTGGAGCTACTCCAACATTTTCATGTATATGCTCATTTTGTATCCTATCTCTAAGGGTAAATCCACCTGAGCATTCTCATCTCTACAACACTTTGGATTATACTTCTCTTTTAATGTCCAGCATTCTGCATCATAAAGCATTGTTGGTCTCACCACCATCTTATAAATTTTTTTCTTAAGTTTGAGGGAGACTTTTCTATCACACAACAAGCCCAATGCATTCCTCCATTCCAACCACTCAACTTGAATTTTACTGATAATATCCCCATCAATTTCACTATCACTGTGAACAATAGGGGGTGTCAATATTTGACATGACCCGAAAACTCGACATGAACCCGACTTGAAAATTTCCGGTGAGGGTCAACCCTCACCCGAAACGGGTTAGGTTCTAATTCAATAAATCAACTAGTTTTAAAAATTGGGTTGAGTTGACCCAGAAACACAAAATTAATCTATTTTTGACCCCAGAACTCGAGATTGAATCGTTTTTACCCGAAAATCGGAGACCCATTTTTTTGACTCAAAATTAGCAATTTTAGGTCGGCCTCGAGCCATTCGGGTATTGTCGGATTGATCTGTACCCAAAACGGGTCGGGTTCGAGTTAACCCAAACAGTGCGTCAGTTTTGGATTTAACTTGAACCCGACCCATGATCTAAAATTGATACCCGAATAAACAATAGATCCAAGATATGTCAAACACGTACTCTTATTAATAACTTGATAATTCAATATCATAATCTCTCTATTAAATTTATTACTATTAAAATTATACTCCATATATTAAGATGGAATGGAATAATAATTATAATAATTAAAAGAACATTCGCCATAACGCTCGCCTGCACCAAAAACACCCGACCGCTATTTCCCGAAACCCTCGACTACAGCGGAGAAGGAATTCACAACGGGAGCTAACGCTGGAGAAGGCGTCGACGGGATCGGCAGAGCTTGTGAGATTTGTGGAATTAAGTTTAATTATCCTATGTCCGGATTTGTTAAATCCCGAATTTAAGCTGGGAAGAAATGAAATGTAAGATTCTGTAAGATTTAGGGGCTGCCAAACTGCATCTTAAAGATGTCATCTTTTTTGTTTGGGAGTATTTATGTTAAATCCTGCGCAAATCCGATTCAAACCCTGCCACCAAACAGCCTCGTAGATTCTTCCATCTTTGTTGACTTTATATCCTTGGGTTTGGTGCTGTGTTGATGGTTGTTAGTGTTTGAGTGGAAGTTGAGGAATTCTCGGATATAAGATGGTTAGATTGTTCTTAGGCCCACCACCTTCAGGTATCTTCGGAGACAGAGATGCTGTGAAGGAGAGAGTAGAACTTTTGGAAAAACTTGAATCAGTTATATGGTCCGCTATGGTCTCCGGTGATCGATATGAAGCTCGCCTATGGCTTTGCAATACGATTTCATCCATTCACTCTATAACTCTTCGTGAGCAATGTAAGTTGTTTATTGACTTATTGAGACTCAAGAAGTCAAAGCATGATGTTGCGGCTCGATTGTTGCAGATGATCTTTGAAAATAGGCCAGGCTTAGCTGGTTCTATCATTGCAAAGAAGATCTGCATGCTTGAGAAGTTTTTTGAAGGTAGATATCTCCAATTTGAATTGCCCCACTCGCTATTGCATTCATTCTATATAATTATCATGCGTGGCATCATATATTATACTCCAGCTTTGTCTTATCTCCTCATAGTTTTAAAATTAATACTATTTAAACAGAAAAATATATGGATTGCAGGGAATCCAAGACGTATTTTGGAATGGTTTGATCACTTTGCCACTGTTGGAGAATCAGGGCATAAAAAAGGAGCCAGAGCACTCTCCAAGTTTGCTTTTATGAACCGCAACACATGCTGGGAGGAGCTTGAGTGGAAAGGAAGACATGGACAGTCTCCAGCAGTTGTTGCCACCAAACCCCATTATTTCCATGATCTGGATGTTCTTCAGACTGTAGAGAACTTTCTTAAGTATGTGCCAGATTTTTGGTCTTCAGATGAACTTGCCGAATCTGTTAAAGATGGTGAAATCTTAAAGATTGATCAAAAATATTTTATAGATTCATTTCTTCACTGGATGTATGAAGAAAATTTAGACGGAGTATGGGTGGCCGTAGAGGAGTTTATGATGAATCAGCAATTCTCATTTCTTTGCCAGCATCTACTTGTTGTTGTGGATGATTCCAGGATGCTAACTTTTTTTAATTCTATCAGTAAATTCATTAATGTAGATGCACAATGCAAGGAATTAAAACACCCATCATGTTGGCTAGAGTACCTCTTGTCAACTTGCAGTGGTTCTGTATCTGTTGAAGAATATATCTTGCTGAATGCTGTAATTTCTCATGGAAGACAGCTTCTACGTCTAATGACTAATGAAGAGCATGAGAGTGAGAAGCAAAAGCTGGAGAAGCTATTGATGAATGCCTTGAAATTTTGTGATACTGATCACTGGTATTTCATAAAAGAATGCACGGAGATGGAAAAGAAGATAGCAATAAAATTGATTGGGCTTCAGTCTTGGGTTATTCAGTATCATTTGGCACAGGAATGCAAAACTCAACAATCATGTGAATTATTGTTTTCTGAGAATGGAATAAGTTTTCGCAGGGCTGAGAAGTTCTATCTGTTACAATCTAATGGAACTTTAGAAGAACATGGTTCAGAGATTGATGATGAAGATTTTGATAGACGAAGTCACAATAGGAGAAGGAAAGAAAAGAAGAGGAGGAAAAAGAAACAGAATCATGCTAATGAAAGTGCTGATGAGCTTTTGGAATTTGAACCTTTGAACAGTTTGCATGATTGTAAATCAGGAGGGAGGAGTTGGCTGCTCTCTACCAACAATTATTCCTGTGCCTGGAATGCTGTATGTTCCTTTTTCTTTAATTTTCCAGTCATTTATTACTTATCTTGCTTCTTTCATCAACTTTCTACATATGAATTCCACCATAGATTATGCTTATGGTTCATAGTTCTTGTGCTTTTGATTTCCATAAGCATTTGATTTGGGAATTTGCAAAATTGCTCAAGTCCAAGTTTATTTGTTCTTAATAATTAGTAGTTTTCCTTGTTAACTCGATGAGATTTCTTGAAGTCCATATCTTACATGTAGCATTGGATGAATTTTCTACATGTCATAATTGAAAAAGCTAGTCTTACAGTAAAGAAATGCAAATTTTCCTTATCTGGCGCATTATATGCATTATGCAGTTTTGGTTTAAGTCATCTTCGAATTGATCTTTGATATGAATTATGAACTAATTAGAATCTTTTGTTAATTTAAAAAATTGTACTTCTCTTCAATAGTTCTTTAGAGAGATCCTTAGATCTGTATCCGTTGTATAGCTTCCTATCTCTTTTTTTGTTGCCAGGCTTAGATTAGGGATGACGTTCTATTTCATTCAATTATGATGTTGATGATTCGAATATCATTTCATTGCATACAGGCTGATTTGCCGGATCATTTTGCCAAGCGTTGTTTTTCTACGTGGATGAAATGGGTCTTATCTATGTGGTAGCTCTTAATTTCACGAGTGGATGTACATTTCAGTTTATCAAGTATGGACATCGTCAATGGTGATGTAAGAAATCAGAAATGTTAATTGTTTTTTGTTATTCTATTCTTCATAATTTATTCTTTGAGTGTCATTTATTTTTTTTATGGTTATTATCTTACACTACGTATATCTTTATTTTTTGTTTTAAACCCGAGCATGAAGCGTGGATTGTTGAATGCCAATATTATCTTCACCTGACGGCTATGCAATTGAAGTTTTATTACCTTATCATGTTAATATTTTGAAATAGCTTATGGCGTGTCTTATAGTTCTTGTATGTTCCTTCATTAATAATACTTATCAATTCCAATCTTTAAAAAAAAAAAAAATGTATATTTATTCTAAAGAGTGGAATCAAAATGAGAACCAAAACCCTTTTTCTGACCTGGTAGAACCTGTAGTCTTTAAAGTTAGTGCTGATTGATAACCTAACTTTGATTGTACATTTCTCCTTTCCCCAACCTTTATTTCACCTTTGTCTCAATTATCTCGAGCCTCTCTTGTCACTTGAGAGTAGGAGGGGCTTTATGTATTACCTCAAGTCTTCCCAATCACCTTTAGTGGGAGGGGGCAGTCTTTACGAGTGAGGTTCGAGTAAAAAGCTTTTCTGGTAAAATGATGGGTGAGTATTCTAGATTCTATGGCAGCACATTATAGCAAATTTTGTTGTTGTTGTTGTTGTTTTTGTGCAATCTTTGATATAAGGAAAAGAAATGATACTGATATAGATTCACTCTATTTGATTTTCTAATGGGTGAAAAATGATGACTAAATCACAGTGAAATCTTGCATCTATTTGGTTCCTTTTCTTTTTTGTCCAAAAGCTAGGAAATAGAGGAGGAACATCATCGAGCTATTCCTTTACCCATTCACATTTCTGTTTCTACATCTCCTTACTAATAACGACAACAACAAAGCACATGACTTTAAGAATCATGGCTTAGACACTATATTTGCGAGCTCATTACAGCTGCATGCTTCTAATTGTCTTAAGGATCTGGACCATTAAAATATAACAAACTTATTCCAGCTTAGCTTTAGAAGAATCTTCCTCTAGAGAATATTGTAAAGCAGTGTTATTATATTGACATAATTTTTTATCAATGAACATACTTTCGACTCTCAACTCTACTCTATTCACCTATTCTACTTATTATTGTTAGTTCATTATGGTATCAAAGCATTTTCTTAGCAATGCCTTGACATCTTTCTCTCTTTTTCTTTCTTTTCTTTTTCTTGTAATCCAAAAGCTTCTTCATAAATCCAAATGCTTTTTCAGATAAAGCACTCATCCTCTGCCTCTCTAAAGAACAATCCAACCCCATTCACGATGAGTACCACCATATTGCCTCCTTCAAAATCTTGATGTTTGGTGTCAAGCATATAATCACCACCAAATTCTTTAGTGATAATCATCAACTGTTGCGTTCCCAAATTGTCAATATATTATACTTATTGACCAATGTCATCGCTCTATAGTCCACCACCACCTCTTTTATTCCCCTATGTCCTTTACCTTGGCTATTGCTTCGCCAAATGGACAACCATTGACATTTTTTTTTTCAATTTGCAAACTACTCTCAGGTCATACAATTGAAGAATGATGCTCGTATCTCTATAAAAACCAATACTATGACTCAATATCTGATATAGTCTAGGGTTAGCACCCTGGTTGTTGCTTTAAATATATTTTCAAATTTTCGTAGAGCGTTAGAACGGATATTTAGGCTCCGTAGGGTTTTGAAAATAAGTGTATTGAGGGGGGTTTAGCCAAGATTAAAATTATTTAAATTCTGAGAGCTTCTCTCATGAAAATTTGTAGCTTTAGTGTGGTGAATATATGGAATCCCTATGATGAAAAATAGTTGGAATATTAAGATTAATATCTCTAGATATAATTTGGGGAGTTTTATATTTTTCTATGTTTTTTAAGAGGTTCTAATAGAGGTTGGAATGAGACTAGGTATTGTGGAAACCTTTTTTGGCCAATAACTCTAAATTTGGCTTGGGCTTTATTGGATGAGGCTACGGTTAGGTGGTGGAATCACTTGTAGTTGATAGAAATTTATTTCTACCATTATTCTACATTTTTTTCACAATTCTCTAAGAGGGTTAAGGTGTTCAAAGGTGCAATGGAACGAGTCTGTCTTATTGGTGCAACCCTTGACTGTCAGATACTAATAGGGTTTTAATTGGGATTTTATGGGGAAATGGTGGGAGATTGGTATTGTTGTGTGGATGAAGATTAGTCGAAGAGTTGTGCATCAAGAAACAACAATAATTAAATTATATAAATTGATCACGTACTAAAGTGAATAGGTTTGAAGATATTACAAAACCTCTTTAATGGAGTGTTAACTACCATCCTTCACTCAAAAGCAATATGCTCCTAAATTTTCTTTCGAAAACATTGTCAATCCATTCAAATGATCATTGTAAAATATTTAGTGGTTTACATGAAAGGATAATAAAAAAAAGGAATTAAGAGTTGGGGCTATTCATGTGAAAGGGTGCAAAGGTAATTCAAACACATTTTGAAAAGTGTAACTACTAATTTTTAAAAATGGAGTATGACCATAACTACATAGAAATTGTTTTTTTTTTTGGTTCACCCACCATTTTCATTTAAACTCAATCTAGCATTACCTCCATAATTAAAAATTTAAAATTCAAAATTTCAAAAGTTATAATTTTAAATTCAAATTTTGAATTTAAAATTTTAATATTTTGATGTCTAAATATGGAAATTACAAATATAAGTATTTTACAATAATCATAACACACATAAAACAACAACAACAATATCAAACCTTTATCCCACTATGTGGGGTTTGGCTACATGAATCCTTTTTCTCTATTGTGTCCTATTAAGAGTCAAATTCTCATTTTAAATTTAATAATCATAACATAAAAAATAAAAATTCTAATTTAAAATCTTCAATTAGTTTCTTGTTGCAGGTCTTTGCATAGCTTCAGCTTGTTTCTTCCCTAGGGCTGTTATTGTTGATCCAATGTCATCACAATGTCGTTGTACTATGTCAATTTCTTTCTAAATGTAAATCTATTGTTAACAGTATTGTGGTTATCGGCACGTTGATACTGAAGATAGCATCCCCTACATCTTTAGTGGGTTGCCTTATACATATCAATCTTTCAAAACTTTCATTTGCACCAAATTCACTCCTATCAATCTCGATGCCCTTTACTCTCTTTTAAGTTGTGAGGAAATCAACATCACCAATGAATTAGCTAATGACACAATTCATTGACCCTCATCTCATTCTTATAACCCAACGAAATAGAATCTGCTTACCATACTCAGGAGGACAAGGCTACAACTAAACCGATTCCCTATGATGTAGAAACTATGCATCTTTCTCAAACAGGGGAGGATAACATTTCTTAGCTATCATATAATGCCAAATTTGTAGAATGGCTAGACATTCTGTTGCTTCCTGTTGACATTGTACTTACCTCAGGTCCTCAACTACTCAGCATCCAATCACCCTCCTTTCTCTCCCCAAGCAGCACTCCCATGATTAGCTATTGGACTCGAGCATTGTGTCGCACCTCTCTTCCAAGCATGGTTTAAAATTATACAATTATAGACCCACGTTAAAGCTTGACACGACACAATTTTAATCCAAAAAAAAAAGGCGGTGAGGCACATGTATTGTGCTTGCTTCATGAGGCTTAAGCCTCAAACAAGGTGAGACACACCTAGAATTATGTCTCTATGCAAGTTTAGCAAAATTTTGAAGAGGTTTCTCAAAAATTAATTTTTAGGTTATTTAAAACTTTTTCAATAAATTAGAAATATATAATTAAATCTATTTATTATATCTAAACATGTCCAACTTGAGCAGAACCCACAACCCAAATTTGCAGCAACATGATGCATGTCACACCACCCTCACACTCTCACTTGATCCTATTCTATGATGCACCGACACTTCTCCTCAAAGAGGCGTGCAGTGTCCGACAGACACTCGTCCGACACTCCTCCGACACGTGTCGGACACGCCGAAAATGTGTCTGATTAAAAAAATATTAAAAACAAATTGGACACGCGTATCTTAAATACTTTATAATTTTTTTAAAATATAATTTCTTATATTTGGCGAGATTTAAACTAAATTTCTTATTTCCTATCCACAAGACCAAATCAACGCTTGCATTTAATACCCATTCATCGAATATTCTCGTTTTCATTTCTCTTTGGCAATGAAGGTATTTTTATCTCCTCTCTTTTTGCACAATTACAAATCTTTCTCTTGTTGAACCAGAGTTGAAAGCAGTGATATTCAATGATGATGATATTGAAGGCCAAAAACAAACCTCTAAAGCTAATCATAGTAGTTGAAGCTTGAATGCTTGATGTTGTAGTAAGTGATTATTTGCTTATATTTTTGTGGTTGTACTAAATATTTTATATTATAAGCTAGACAAGTTATCATGTCATTCATTTATTATTGTTTGTCATTTTTAATATGATATTACATTAATATATATATATATACTAAAAAAAGGTATTGCCGTGTCCGCGCCGTACCCGTGTCCTATATTTTAAAAAAAAGCCGTGTC